CTCTGTGTAGTTTCAAAACGACGCGAATTTGTATCGAAACGACCGGTTTCCTTTTGTTCAGTTCACTTTACTGAAGGTTCTTTCTTTAAAACTTAAGTTTAGTTACAAAAATCTTAAAATTTTTTGTAAGTAAAATTGTTTTTTACTGTTGCTTTAAACCAAAATTAGGAAAGTCCTAGTGTCGTTGAATAATTTACGAAAATACGAGTTGAAATAAACTATAAACATACATGTATTTGTCACGTCCCGTGTTGAAAAATACACATCTTAATGAATTTTGCACCTAAATATCAAGTAAAGTTCTTGATTTGATAGAAACACAAAAAAAATATTGAGATATCCACATTTTAGGGGTAATTTCACGCAGTTTCTTTCACTGGGATTTTACGTGCAAAACGACTCGAAATGTTTACAAACCTTCGAACCACCTGGTGCGCTAACCAATCAGATCGCGGAACTGGCACACACCCCCAACACGCCTTCATGAATTTTCCAATCGCAGAGTCATCGTCGGATGAAAACACGGAACAACAAATTTTGTTTCCCCAGCGAAGCGCATCCAAATCAAAGTTGTCAAAAATAACTATAAATTTCCAACAAAAACGATCATAGAGGAGAATGAAACGGTCCTTTAACATAAAAATCCTTTTTACTTCAAAATATATGCAAAATATTTGTCTCTCAAAAGAACACGAAAGATGCCTTTGTAATTATGTGGACTTTGAACTCGTGCGTTTCGCTTTGAACATTGTAGGTAAAATGATGAGCTGGAAGTAAAATACACGCCAAAAACTTCTTCCCTTAAGAAAGGTAACTCTCTAGAAAGCATTACTCTGACTAGATCGTACTAAAGTACCCGAGAAATGATCATATACAATTCAAAACAATCTCCCAAGAGGGTATGCCGGGGGCGGCGGCAGCTACCGCCTTTAACATGGCATTGAAACTGCTTGAAAGTACACACGAATTTATCAAAAATTCCCAAATAGAATGTTAAGAAAAAGACATTCTAAAGAATTTTCTACAGCTTTGGTTAACTTAATTTACAATATTTACAGACAGGTAGTTAAAACACCAAGCTCAAACTTATCGATCCCTTACCTTTCTGCACTTGGGCGCGCGAACTTCCCGAAGCAACGGCGGTTGGAATTCCCACTTTATGGGCTTCTTGAGCGAATCGAACAACACACTGGATCGCTGTAACAGACGTTAGTCCTTCTAGAAAGTATTTCCTTTTCTGGTCGTAAATAGCGCATGGATCTAGCTTGATTCCTTGCTGCTTTGCCAGGACATTGATAATTTTTTTACCGGGCACACCCGCTAGAGTATAAAAGTCTTTCTTGCGAAAGACAAGACCAGTTTCGTTGCATATTTTGCACCATGCTCTCCAGTGGATCGGCATCGTATCAACAAGAGTTCCATCGCAGTCGAACACCAAGGCCTTTACACTTCCAGGTATGAGACGTGAATCAGGAATCATTTTGTTCGATCGCGAGTCAATATCGATGAAGTAAGTTACCTTAGATTAATCGTTCGATCCCTTCAAGATATTTTTCCATCGACAGCGGTCACTTGAGAGATCTTCCTTGACCCTCGTTAGGGCTCTAGATGGAATATGTTGGCGCAAAAATACACAAGATCGACGAGGAGGTAGCCCTCCACTGTCGTTGGGAAAATTCACTTTGCCTTGCACTTTGCCCTTTCGGACACAAAACAACACTTATCGACAATGCCATGTGTAAAACCATGACGTCATATGTCACAGCCAATTGGCCAATGCGTATACAGGCGTTTTCTATTTATATTCATGGGTTGTCATCAGTTACGTTTCTATGACATTGCGAAAGTTTGAAAAAAGTGGTTCATCAAAAAACTTGACATAAGATAAAAGTAGAATGCTTTTATTTTCATCGGCACTTACTGTACTCCCTTAATCTTGTGTCTTAAAAGTTCTCCAAGCCATACATCCATGGTCATGCATCCGTTATTTTCCGCAATAAACAGATAATATGCAAAAGTAAAATGAACCGGAAAAACCCACTGTCATCCAGCAAATTGTTATATTGTATCATCCTCTGCTTTCACTAGCAACTGATCCTCGAGAGTTTGATAACAAATTGGCATTTTTTATTCTCATTCAAAAAATAACTTATTTAAACTCAGAGTTTTATACCTAACCTCATTCTGAATCCTTGGTATGCAACCATGTAACATCGGTCACGGTAGGGGTCAATGAAATAATTTTTTCCGAAAGATTTACATAAAAGCTCCCAGGAGAGAGTAATGCTTTTGTCGTTGACCACCAAATGATGTCAGTTTTGGAATGAAAAGGGATGAATCCTGGCAGACTCTTAAATGAAAAAGACGGGTACCGCTTCATCGTCAGAGTTTGTTTTGTTGTTGTTTGTTTGTTCCTTTATCATGTCGCACAGTGGGCAGTTCTTTACGCACGACCCTATTAAACGAAAACCTTAATGCAAAAAACAATGGCTTTCCGTCTAGCTTGCACAGCTGGCGGTTTTTGCTGGAAAGGGGCAGGGTGAGTGAAGCGAACTCAATTTCGCCGCTCGTTCGCGCGCGCTTTCGTAGTTTTGCCGCTCATTTCGGCTCTCGCCAGACAAAACCACCAGCTACGCCGGCTTCTTTCTGGGTATCCTTGTCACTGTCTTATGGGAGTCTTCCTCCCAGGGGAATGAATAAACAACACTGGCATCTGTCTTTTGGGGCACGTCTATTCAGGGGACACTAAATTTGGTCCCGGAAAAAAGTTCACATAATCTTTGTATTTGTTACCTCTAATGAAGGGACAACTCTTTTCAGGGGAAAGGGACAATTTTTCGGGGTCCTTAAGCCCATTCAGGAGATACCTTAGCCCTCAAAAAGTGACTGACCGCAAAATTCGTTGATAAGTTTTAGTATTCAATGTGTGCGATACGGGCACATTCATTCACAGAAACATTCAATTTCTAATGTTTTTGTTTTCCGTGTTATATCATTTATGCTTTGTGGAAACTATTAAGGCTCGGAAATTCAGCATGGAATTTTCTGGGGGTTAACGTTTGGTCCAGGGATTTTTGGGGGTATGTTGGAAGCCCCAGGGATTTTTTGGGGTTTTGATTTATGCCCCATTCGATCATCCCGTCACTTCCGGAGTACCCCCCTCTCCCTACCACCCGAGACTACAGTAGCGTGCAGTATGATACTATAATAAAGGGGCAATGGCATCGGTCGAGATGACTTTCGGGTGACTTCACCGTAAACCCTTTTCCATTTTGGAGACTCAACAATTCACGCATTCAATGGGATTTGCAAAGTGAAAAAAAACAATAACAACAACAACAACAAGCTAAGCCTTCCTAGTTTTAATTTTGAGTTCAGTAACACAAAGCTACACTACTTGTCGGTTCGTCTTTAAAAAATTCATATAATCTTAAATATTTGCAAAATTATGGCAGTTTAAAAAAGGCTATCTAAGTTTTACAAAGTTGTATTTTTCGAAAGGGATTTTTTTCATACGTTTAACCTTCTGGCTTTACTCGGGCTCAGCACAGGGTACGAACATACGACCAGGATGAAAGAAATTAGCTCATTAAATCTTTCTTTCCATATGAAGACCCATGTCCGGGATAAAAAGGAGTCTCAAGTTTGACTTTTTTTTTATAAAAATCCGTCCAGTTTTCGCAGTGTGGAACTCGGCTGTCGACAACAATGCACGTTATCCGGACCTACTTTTCTTTTGAAACGGGGAGGACTGGGTACAAATCCAGCTTGTTCATTGGTAACCATAGAAACAAATCACCAAAACCCATCCGCCATCTTGATAAACGCAAACGACAACGACAAAAGCAATCACAAGTAGGCTTATTGCTCGTCTGTGATCGGACTTGTTGTCCGTAAAAGTATAACACGACGATGGAGGTAAATACACTTGTTTGCGATATTGGTATTTCAGTTATTGAACATCTGTGAGCTTTCGCCAAATTAAGTTTCTCATGGAATGTTGATGGCAGTTTACATTTCTTTCAGACGGACAAAAAATCACAGGAGATCAAAGAGAAACCCGCAATCGAGGAAAATGCATTCGAGGCACTCGAAAGAGATTTCCAAGAGGTATGAGACTGCCGATTTCATTAAAGAACGGGATTATGATGAACGCCTTTATGTTTAAGCTTGATACTGTATTAGCTAGTAGTTGGCATTTGCAGTCGGCCAGTTACAATCTGCATCTCTGCGAAATCTGTACAAATAAACTTATGGAGCGAAACCGTTCCAAAATGTCATTTGACCTTTTTTAAAGCTAATCGTTTTTAACTTTTGTAGGTTCTTGGAGAGCTCATGGGAGACAAAAGCCTCGAAAAGTTTCGTGTGGAGTATGAGAAGTTACACAGAGCTTTGAAGAAGTCTCATGAAAGTGAAAAACGTTTGATGCAAAAATGTAGGGAGCTGAACGCAGAAATTGTAGCAAACGCTTCCAAAGTTCAAACGGCTTTGAAACTTTCACAAGAAGATCAGACGACTATTGCTTCCCTTAAAAAGGTAATGATAAAAAAGTAATATTGTACCGTTGATAATTAATAAAATTAAACAAAACTGCAGGTATCACAATTTTGATAATCAGTTGCAAAATGGTTCAAGCCGCATTTACACTACAGTAGATTTGGTCTAAACCAGTCAAAAAAGTGTCACAGTGTCGATAACATATATAAAGAAATACTGCAGTTTTAAAGAGTCATAGGCGCCTATGCCTTGCGAAAAGTTCAGTATTTCTTTACACTCATTATTTGTACCATACAACTTTTTGATGGGTTGATAGCAAGTTTGTCTGTAGTGTTAATGTGCCTTGGAACACTTCTGCGGCCAAAAAATACTTTTTGTAATTCAGTGAGCAGGCAAGAGGGAATGTTCCAAAAAAAGTAAAATAATATTTTATTATCCTCTTCTGTTTTTAATTAAGGTAAGGTTTCAAGTTGCCGGTTGTTATCCATTGGTAGGCAGGGAATTGGACAGATAGAAAGTCGAAGTTTTGGTTCTACTTTCCTTTGTTTCCTATAAAGTAGCCGTAGGAACTCCCTGCCCTTGCAATTTGTACATATACATAAGGATTAGTAGGTGAATGGGAAGTCTTTGTTAAGTTGTAAAAGAAAGTGTTAAGTCAAGTTCAAAGCATATTGCTTTGCAAATCAACTTTTTAAAAGTGCAAATGCTTTGAGTAGAGGGTTGATTAATCAAGGTCAATTCACAATTTGTTTCAATTATTGCTTGCCATTCTTAGGAAATTGAAAAAGCATGGAAAATGGTTGATGCGGCCCATGACAAGGAGCAAAGAGCAAGGGAAACTATTCAGTCTTTGAAACTTGAGATAGCAAACCTCAGTAAACTGGTGGAACAGGGAGCAGGCTTAACTATGGGACAAGATCACAGGTAATGACAAAAATACATGAACTGATTTGTTTATAATAGTATGCATGCAAGTTGTGTTTGTTTGCAGTTATATTGCAGTTGAAGCCATCCCTGTCAAATGCAGGTTCACTGAGAGCAACCTTAAATCTGTTTAATAAAAATACTACCGTGATGGTACTTTAATGTCGGGAGACGGCACAATTAATTTCTCTTGTTCCTTAGGTATTTGGTTCATTGTACAGTCAACTCTCTCTAAGACGGACACCTTTGGAACCGGCACTAAGTGTCCGTCTTAGAGAGGTGTCCGTCTTGTAGAGAGTCAAATAAAAGGAGTAAAGAAAGGCAGGGACCAACTCTAGGTGTCCATTTTAAAGAGGTGTCCATCTTATAAAGGTGTCCCTTAAGAGAGAGTCAACTGTATGACCTTGGGTGTGCTTGCATTTCAGAAGTCAACTTTTTTTTAACATAACATGCAGAAAGATGCTATAATTTTGTTGAAATTTTGATGGAATGTTCACTTTTCATTTTAGTGTTAATGAGCTGCTCAAAATCAAAGATGAATTGACAAAGGAAAGAGATGAAAAATTGTCTGAGATTACCAAGGTTTGAATTTTTTCTTGTTTTGTTTTAGATTCTGACTTGTTAATTCTTGTATCTCTTATACATCCATTCTTGATTGCAATTCTTGGCTTCTGTAAACTCAATGTTAAATTTTTTTAGATGAGAGAAGAGCTCTCCAGTGCAACTACAAAACAGCAGAAGGCTGAGCAAGACAGGGAAGAAGCTGAGATGAAGATTGCCGAAGTAAGTTGCATGTGCTCATACTCATAGCCATATCCAGGTACTTATTTAAACACATAGTGTACAAGGTACACTGTAAATACAACCAACTGAATCACTCCAGTCTTGATGAATATTTAGTACTCATGTAGAGCTGATTATACACTGTATATGTAGTCCACTGTTTAAAGCACCATTTACTGTATAGACCATGAACATACCTTTCCTTTCCCATTAATCCCTGCCTACTTGAACTTCTTTTTGCCTTCTCCTTGGCTCAGCCCTCCAGTATAGAGGCTT